GAGCATCACTCTTCCCTTTAACCCTCCTGCAAGGACTCCGAGCATTGCAGCGGCCATCCTCGATGCCCTTCCAGCTCCTGCCTTTAACATGTTGGTCTTCTCTCCCCAGCTATCGACCTGTTGTACTGGCGTGACATCAAGCAGACAGGCATCGTGTTTGGCAGCCTTCTGTTGCTGCTCTTTTCCCTGACCCAGTTCAGCGTCGTCAGCGTCGTGGCCTACCTGGCTCTCGCCGGCCTCTCGGCTACCATTAGCTTCAGAATCTACAAGTCGGTCCTACAGGCTGTGCAGAAGACGGACGAGGGCCACCCCTTCAAGTGAGTTCTCTGCAGTCATGGCCAGGGGCCATTTATCTTGCAAAGGATCCGTTCCCCATGGCAATTCACGTTTATTTAGCTGCTGCTTTTATACTGCATACAATCCTTTTCTGGCTCATGACAGAGGAAATATTCTTTTCTGTTGTCCAGTGTCTCGAGAGCTGTAAGGCTGCATTGACTCAGATCCTGGGGGAAAAAAAAGCCACAACATAAAAGCCATCGTCCTCTGAGACATGGGATTTTTTTTTCTGAAATTCAAAAGATCCAGAAAATTTTAAGCAAACAGAGGAAAAGAGTTTAATTAGAGCTAATGATAATACAGCATCTCTGCGAGCAGGAAGAGTATTGTTTCAGGGCACTCTCTCTTGGGCATAGAGGGAAACTATTTTTATCTCCTCTCCAGCACTGCTTGGCTGTGACGTGGCAATCCATCGCCCTGGGGGATGGTGCCAGTGCCAATGCCAGTGCCCTCCCCACCCTCCGCAGGGTCGAGGTGGTCTGCTCCAGGGTGGAGCAGTACTTTCTCCTCTGCTGTGCCAACAAGTTGGGAAACCAGGTCATGGAACTGGTCTGGTTAGTTAACACACACAGTGAAAAAAAGCCTTGTTGGGGTGCTGCTCCTTTTGTTTCAGTTGGGTCAGGTCTGAGATGCACCTCACAACGTGGGCATAGCTCAGAGAGAGGTGCTGGGCGGGTGAAGGGATGAAGGAGAGAGAAGGGGAGTCACTGCTGAAGGTGAAAGTGGCCAGAGCAGCTTTAGTTCCTCCAGAGGCTGGAGGCTCTGGCACAAAGAAATGAGGTCTGGGGAGGAGGGAGTGATGGGGTAGACAGACACGAGTGTGAACAGCAGGTGAACCTACCCAGGTTTGTAACTGGACCTGTGTTTCTGGCAGAGCCTACTTGGAGATGGAAATGAATCTTTCACAGGACCAGATTCAGAAATACACAGACTGTCTCCAGCTATACGTCAACAGCACAGTCAAAGAGCTGAGGAGACTCTTCCTCGTTCAGGACCTTGTGGATTCTCTAAAAGTAGGATTGCTTTAAATATTTCACACACCACCACCACCCCCTGCCAGAGGATCAATCTACATTTCAAAATGCTGCTTCCCATGTTGACAGTATTGTCATAAAACCTGGTTTTGTGTAGCTCCAAATATAAAAGTCGCTCTCCTTTTTGATTTCCAAACTGCTTGCTTGCAGCAGTTTAGAGGTTTGGCAATCTGAATTTGGATTTATTCATAGGTAATACAGGAGTCATAAAAGTTGCTGCACCAGCTTAGCTCCACTGCAGTTCTAGAACCATCTCTGCTTTATGCTTTCTATAGCTTTGGCACAAATGGTGTCTCTGCTCTAACACCTCTGTTGATCTGGATTTCCCCTAACGGTGGCATTTCTGTCTATGGAGGAAGGTCTTTTTCCCTCCCTGCTGAGATAATTATTTCTTCTCAGCTTTACACCCAGGGAGGTGTCTTTCAGGGCAAAGGGAAGATCATTAAGAGAGCAGACAGGTGTTAGGCTCCTAAATTACTAAAGTTTTTTAGAAAAATGTACCCCTCTTTCAGCCTCACGAGTTTTCAGTCAGTGGGGTTATCACTGTGGGGCTGTGATTAACCGGTGTGGGATGACTCAAAAGTGGATGCAGAAATCTGCCTATGTCATGCTCAATGCAGAGTCCTGAATGTCTGCAGTTAAGCCCTAAACGTACATTAAAGCTCAGCTAAGAAGGTGAGAAACAGTGAAGAGCAAAACAGAGAATGGGGTTTATACACCCAGAAAAAGTACCTAGTTCTTAATGTGACTTACTTAACAAGTCTCCTTACACGTTAAAAAAGGCTAATGTGCTATTTTGTTAGCTAGTTAAGTGAACTAATTTCTTCTTATGCTGTCTCTGGAGGTGATGTAATGATCCTTCTTTAATTCAGTTTGCAGTACTAATGTGGCTGCTGACTTACGTGGGAGCCCTCTTCAATGGCCTGACTCTTCTGATAATGGGTAAAAATCAACATTTCCTTAAAAATCCGTTTTTAGCTTTAACTCCCTCGCAATCCCTACTCAGCCAAACCAGCCCGTCATCGTTGTGCCTTCCCCGCAGTTAAACCATCGACTTTTATTTCCCTGTCCTGTAAATATTCATTATCCCCATACTGTTGTCCCTCCTCCTAGAACTAATTTGTGTTATATGGTTTTGCAGCCACTAGTCCCAGAGCAATGGGAAGTTCCATATTTGGGAGGTTTGGGTAAAGTTCATTTTCGACATGAAGATCCCTGGTGGATCAGCTGCCCAAGTGGCGCGATACGCGTTTGTCACTGAAGTAGGTCTCTTCTCTGGAGGAATCTGTTCGGCAGGAATATAATGGTGTGCTCTTTTTCTCCTCAGCTGTGGTGTCCATGTTTACTCTCCCTGTTGTATATGACAAGTACCAGGTAAATCTGTCCGCGCGGTGCTGTTTGGGTGTCTGGGGGGTTCTGCCTTGTTGGTTCCTGATTGACTCCGTCTCCTTTTCCTCTTTGCAGGCACAGATTGATCAATACTTGGGGCTTGTGCGGACCCACATAAACACTGTTGTGGCAAAGTGAGTTCGGCAGCAGACCTGACCAGGATTCTTGCCGTGAGGGTGGGGTGAACTGGGGGTGGCTAAGAGCTCGGTGGTCCTGGGGACAACGTGCCCTGCGAATGACGACCTCCCTAGCTCCTGGCATGTACGAGTCTGGGGGAGGGCAGATCCCTGGAGGAACACAGTTCTCAGCTGAGTGTAGACTGAGGCAGAGCTGTGATCCTACATCCTTCTCTCCCTGCTCCTGCCCTTTGGGGAGCTCTGGACAGAGAAGTCCAACCAGGGACTGATGTCATAGAATCATAAAATGGTTTG